AATTTGAAGTGTTACAAGCACCAGTTAAAAAAAATGCAGTGGGGAGGACAGCTATCATCTAACCTGAGAAGCTAACCTAGAATAAACTAGCATGATGCTAATGCACAGTAGCTCTTCTGCACTAATTTATTGCATGAATGCTCTTGTTTTGCATCGCATATCAAAGTGCATTAAGCTAAACTGTGAAAAGACATACAGAAAAAACAGAGATGTACTAAAAATATGGGTAAGAAGGAATGTCAAGCACTATTTTGAAAAAAAAAATCAAACTAATCCAGTTTATGCAAAGCAAAAAACAACAACAACAACAACAAAAAGCACATGCCCGTTATCTGGAAGAGTCCAGTGTGGAGAACAGTGAAGGTGAAAAAGCAATGGGTGGTAGTAGAGAGCAAGTTATGTGGACTTCTTTAAAACAGCAAATACAGGAGAGACACGATTTGGTGTGGAAATTCCCTTTACATCACTGAGAGGTCAGCTGAAGCTCTGTGTTCATTTCTGGGTAGGACGCTGCCACGTTCTTGCCAGTTAATCATACACTGTCTTGGAAAACTTGAGCAGCAGATGCAGGGATTAATTTGAGTAAAAACAGAGAAAACAAATATGAAAAATCAATTAGCACTTTAGAGATTAACTGTGAGAAGTAATCTTATTTTTAAAGCAGGAGGTCAGGATCCTTTCTGGAAACAAAAATTTAGGAGATGGATTTTTGTATTGTGCTGTGCCCTAGCGTTGCAGGGAACATGCTGGAAAATGTACTGTTTGGAAAAAGATGAAGAATAGAGATGGATTGCAGGACCCCATAGCTCTGATCTATCATATCATATCATATCATGTAACAGAAATAGTTGGTGACGCAACAGCTGCCCTGAGCGGGCAGAGGCTGAGCTGCAGTGCGAGCAGTTCTGCCTGTGAGATGCTGTGTTAGGGGCAGCTACGCAAGTGCCACTTGCCCCCCTCTCCTTGGGGCTGCAGGACCTCGGCGGGCCTCTTCCTGTGCTGCGGGGTGCCCAGGGCGGCCCACGGCGTCCGCCGGCTCCACCGCGGCTCTGGCCTTCTGCTGCGTGGAGCACCTCGTGCTGGGCAGAGGCACCTGCAAGAGTGGGCTGCGCGCTTCCTTCCGCACCTGGCCTTTTGCCAGGTGCCATGAGGGAGCCTTGTCATTGAGGATAGTGTTTAGGGTTCAGTGCAGATCAAGGGCCAGGTGAAAGTTATAAAAGAAAACGCCTGCGAGGCATAACAGGGAGGAGAGTCCAACGTCTCACTCAACATTCCCTCTGTATCCCTCTGTATCTGCATTGATCGCTCCCCTCCTACACAGCGAGGGCTTCATACCAAAGGGTGGGATCTCTGCAGTACAGCTGCAAACCTGGAAGTAAAAGGAGGTCACAAATATAGGGCAACTACCCGTGCCACACAGAACAGGAAGTCTTGCACAACAACCTCTCTCTCCTCGTTTGCTCATCTCCAAGTGTGGTTTGCTCTTGTGGTCTCTGAATAAAAAAGGACGCATCCCAACTCATGCGGTTGTATGACAACATGATCACTGATCACCATGGATCTGATGGTCACGGGAAGCAAAATGAAGACTAGATAGTAGCAGGATTCTGCAGTGCCTAGGGCCATTAATTTTGTTAATAATTCTATTAATTCTGTTGTCACTAATGTACTTTTGATCAAGTTGTTGGTTTTTGGTTTTATTTTTTGCTTTCCCTTCAGGGAGAGTGTGTTCTGCTAGGGAACCATTTTATTATTACTTGCTCCTCTCTCTGTGCTGCCTCCAAAGGGTTAGAGAAGTAGAATGAAATGGAACAGCATCAAGGGAGGAACATGACCAAGATCATGCATAGTCAGGTAAATCTTAACAGCTGGAGCAAATGTTTTCCCCACTTAGTTCTGAGGGTGTAGGAATTGAGAAACTGAACAGTAATAATGAGCTGAGCAGTGATGAGCCCACCACATAGTGCTTTCTTGGGTGGCACCTGTCTGAAACCCCAGTAACTTACTGCTTGAGAGAGAGCAGTGTGTAGAATTTGCCTGAGCTTTGGGGAAACCAGAAGCTTTGTCATTCAAACCATTGTCTTTCTGTGTGACGTTCCTGGGGGAACTGTCCCCACCACACATCCTCGTGGTGAAGAACCAGTGCCTGCACTGCACACCAGGCTGGCAAGCGTGATATTAAGCACAAATGAATAGATGCAGGACACTGACTTCTCTTAAAATCTTGTGCCAATGTCTGCCTGCAGTAAACTGCATGTTTAAACTGTGTAAGTACAAGTTTTTTACAGCTTTGGATGGAAACAAAACTGAGACAAATGAGAGGGAAAGGGCATGGAGGATCCTCTGCTATATACTTGGCATCTGAATGATGGGTCGCGTGTGACGAGGGCTGAAGTGCCAGTGCCTTCCAGTACAACAGCGGTGAAAAGCCACTAAAGGCAGGGGCTGGGCAGTGCACAGCCTGCCTCACACTCAGGTTTGTGCAGAGGTGTGAGCAAGAGATTGGGGCTGCTGCTTCCTTCCCCTGAGTTTAATGGCGGGGGAAAATGTAGGCAACACTGTTCTCAGAAATGCCCTTTACATTAATAAGTCTTGTGGGCTGTTAGACTGGGAACTCAGCCCTGATAAGCACATCCTAGGCAGCCACAACACGATGACTTAAAAAGCCCCTTGACTGCTTGTTTCAAGCTCCTTCCCTTTGCACACAGCATGTTTCCTCTTCAAATTGCTTTCTGATTTTCTCTCTTCTGTTACCTTTCATTCTTCTTTTTGCCTCCTGCTGGCTTCTTCTCCCTCCATTGCCATCCCTGCCTTGCCTCTATTAATGCCTCCTCCTCTGCGATTCCTAGTTCAATCTTGTTTATGCAGAGTGCCCTGCAAACCTGATTGATTGGCAAAATTGTGCTCCCACCAGCTTCCTCTGCCCCTAGAACCCAGAGAAATGATCCCTGCCCACATGTGATCTGAGGAAGGGCAGTCTAGTAAATATGGCACCAGCATCTGTCTACCACCTCCCAAGGTAAATTCACAGCTCCATCTCAGGCTTCACGGTTGGGTCTGAGTATGTTGCTTAACACTTGTGTTTATCAAGTTCTCAATTGTAAAATATGCATGAATAGAATGGCTGCAAGTTGGCAGTTTGTAAGTCTGTACATTTTAAGAAGTATATTGCATCATTAAGCGCTTTTTTTTTTCATTGTGAAGTTCCTCCTGTATTGGCAGAGTCCCATCAGACCCATTCCTCCTCGTGCACCTGTCAGTCCTGGAGCAGTGGTTGGTCATTAAAACTCAACAGCTCTCTGCTCAAAGCGAGAAAGTTTGAAGCTGGCCTGCCCTCTTCTTCTGGAGTAGGTCTTAGGAGGTGCATCCTTTTACCCAGAAGGAAGCTAAACCCGCTCTGGTGATGATTGTAGCCTTCGGGGAAAAAATGGAGAGGAAGAGGAAAGAGATGAGAGACTCTGGATAGGAGATAAAACAGTGGAATATACTTGTGTATATGGTGGGAGGTCTAATATATCTGCTAGTCTCTTCAAGGTTCTGGCAGAAAATTCTTGAATTGCCTCTACCCCCAGGAGATGCAACTTCCCCTGCAGTCCTTTGTCTCACATGACACAGCTAAGCGAAAAGAAGAGCTGTTACTCTTTAGACTCTATTTTTAATGAACTGCTTCTAGAGTCCCAACTCTGCAAAACCTGTAGATACCTGCTGCCTCTCATTTGCCACGTAGCTCTTGAAAAGTTACACTGGGAGAAAGGAGACCTGCATTTTGGTGGTACATTAAAACTGTTGTGAGGAGGGAGGAGACACAGAAATAAGGCAGACCGAGAGGTTATACTTTTAGGAAGGGCTGTTAGGCACAACTGCGCACCCTGAGAAGGTGCTTCAAACTCTAGTGGTTCAAATCACAGGGGGTTGGGCCATATGAAATCAGACCGACACATGTCCAGTGAAGAGGCCACCATCTACAAGAACTCCTCAGCCTTGACATGAGCATGAGGAGGAAGAGTACAGTCAAAAAAAAAAAAAAAAAAAAAAGAATGAAAGATATTCAGTGCAGAATGTTGCCATCTCAGCTATAAGAAAAAGTTGGTTGGAGTGAGGTGTCTCTGCATTTATGACTTAATTCTAGTGTTTGCAGTGATTAGAATAATGATTAAAGATTTTAACTTTGTCAAAGATCAGATGAATCCTCTCACCCAGAGAGCCATTAGTACAGAACTTACAGCAAAGATGATTTCTTCTTTATTTGTATAGCACCTTTCTTTAACCTATGATCAGAGAGGAGATTTTTAAGAACAAAACCTTGTGCTGTCCTCAGAAAGGTCGCATTTTCTGCAACACAAAAGAACTTTTAACCACACATCGCTTGATGCTTTTTAAAATCTCCTTTCAGTCTCAAATAAAACATGTGTCACATTTTACTTTCTTTGTCATATTCAGCTATGATGGGAAAAGGAAATTAGTGTATACAAAAATTATTTCAAAGTCATAAATAAGCCCTCAGAGAAAACTACAAAAATATTGGCTTTTTCCACACACCTTTTGTTGCAAGTTGGAACAGCCTCACGCTTGCCTCACGCTATTTTTCACATAATGCTTCTTGAGCGTTTAGCCAAATTACTCTGTATTTATGCCAAAACTAGAATAAGAAGTATCAAAGGGCCACAGTGGCTTCAACTCTCCAAGTATTTAAAACAGAGCTCTCCAGATATCGGATACCATGTCTAGGATAGCATTGAACTCAAACAGTATATAAACTTACCTCAGCTGAAGATGTGCGTGCAAGACTGTGCAAGATTAACTAGACCCAAACTCCATTATGTTTTTGAGGGCTTCTCTCCAGCTGTTGGCATGGCATCCCAGTCACGCTGTCATAGGCAAGGTGACACAGCTGGATGGAGTAGTAGCGTCTTAGGTTCCGCCTTTCCCTTATCTAGCACTGTTTTGCACAGAGGAGTGTTTATCTGAATAATAAAATCCTGAGGCTGGTTCAGGTGATGATGCGCCAGGATTGGGATGTTCTGCGCTCACTGGTCCATGGATCAGGGGCTCATCAGGGTGCTGAGGGGCGAGGGGAGATGAGCAATGGACCTGTGCAAATTTTGGTGTCTGTCAGCCCTGGTCAACAAAATGGGAGGAAGGTGCAGTGAAGCAGGAACTGGTTAATATTGGCACACAATGTGTTTGTCTCATTCCTGTCTCTCAACAGGAGAGGTAGTCAAAACATCCTGAGGAGGAGGGAGCATGCAGTTACCAATTGCCAGCTTTCTGAATTGCGTTCTGGATGATGTCCTTCCTTTTCCCCTTAGCAAATGATGAAACTGCGCTACATAACAAAGTACTCTGAAGAAGAGTGTGAGGTAGGCCTGAAAGAGTGACACAGGCATCAAAAGGAGCATAACTTGAAGCAAGATAGATAAGACCCTTGGGGGCTGTATTGCTTCTAGTACCTATCTAAGATAGCGGTACACTGGGTGAGGAAGATAAACCACATCTGCTCTCTGTTCCTCTTGGTTTTGATGTAGGTGGAGATGATTCTTCGCCAAGGCCAAGAGCAGCAATCAAGTTCCAGGATTTCCAGCTCCAAGCTAGAGCAATGCCAGAACGCCTGTATAACTGAATTTGGCCCTTTGAGCTATCACTGTCACTTGACAAGAGAGTTACACTTATATATTTGGGGTAATGGTTTACTTCACGTTCTAGGGTGCCCTTCAGTAAGGTTTAAGAAGTTTTAACTGTCCTACACATTTCTTGCCCACAACTTTATCAGGTACCTGCCTTTGCGTGGGTTGCACGTTTACAGAATGAAAGCCAGCACCAGGAATGGGCTGTAATGGAAAGTTTTCATCTCTGTAGAGCACAGTTATCATTCTGCTGCTCCTCTGAGGAAATTATCGAAATGTGGGGGCACCTTGTTGGGGCTTTTTTTTTTTTTTCCCTTTACCACCTCTACAATCACAGTGGAAACATCAATTTTATCAGAGCACTAACCACCAGTATGTAACTGCATGCATCAAGATCTAGAGATCAAATCATAGCAGCAGTTCCTCACTCTTAGAAGGGAAGTGAAAGGTGAACAGTCTGTTGCAGCTTTAATTGAGCTGTGCTGGCTGTTAGCAGTAGAGTATCCTGCATCAGGACCTGCTTTCCCTGTCATCTGCTCAGAGCAACTCCCCTCTGCTGCTCCACACAGTAATTCCTAGCTATGCTCCAGTCTCTAAAGGGATCGAGGTCACTGACTTCTGTGCATTCCAGTGACAGTTAGGTGCCCAGCGCATTTAGCGATTATTAAGAGCATGATTTAAATCTGTGCTTGCATATCTTTGTGACTAATATCTGGGCATGGAGAAGCTGAACACAGGACTCGACCATCTTCCAACACCAGTCTGCAGAAGTAGTATCACAGTGTTCCTACTGTTTAGGAACAGTAACGCTCTGTATGCAGAAGATCTGGGAAGATTTTCTTCCTTGGAGAACAATCTTCTTGGGAGTTTTACTCTGAGTCGCCTCAAATCACTGGTGAGCTAAGTGCTTAGAGCCTTTATCTACAGCGCATAAGCAAAATGAGGGAGTGGCCTGCAGTCCAGCAGTGTCTTTGTCCCCTTTCTTCTTTCCCTCACCACCTAATGCCCCCTCTAAGCTCCGTGTTGGTGCCTTCCTCTCTCCTTGCAGCCCGTACACTCCACATCTACACGCTCCCCTTTCCCTGCTCAGACAAAGCTAAGGTGCAGTGCTGCTCCACGTGGGTAGTGCACAAGCCAGAGATGGTGGATGCCAGGCTAACACCAACACATGCTGTTCCTGGCTAACTTGCATATGACGTTTCTGGTGTGTCTGCTGACTGACGGGTTTGTCTCACTCAAGTTACAGGCAAACCTTCTGATTTGTCCTTATAACTGGAATAATCACAACCATGGGCCAAAAAAACATACACTGCATTTTGGTTCCCACAGGCTGGAAGCAATATTCAAAGTCTGTCCAGCTGACGCAGGGTCTGCATGTTGTGGTAAAGATCCAATCGCTCCACTTCAGCATTTTTAATTACAGATGGGAGCAATGATCACAGATGCCTTAAGATTTCCATAGCAAAAAAACAGTTGCATCATTAGGTACATAAGCACCCTTGAAACCGTATCTTTTAGCTCCTACTTAGGCCAGGAAGGCTGCTGCTGTGAGAACGGAGGTGACTGGGACATTCCATAACAAGGGTATCTTGTAAATATAATCATACAAAGAAAGTACAATTCTAAAAAGAAATCAGGTCAATGAATTGGGCATACTCAGGTTGAAATGTCAGTGCTTGGGAGTGTAGACTGATGACAAGCTTTGAGAAACTACTTTAGTAGTTATTTCAATGAGACACGAAACAGAGAGAGAAGGAGTGAGAGAGCAAGCAAAAACATTACCGCAAAGTCTGACTACAGCATCAAAAGCAGAGAAATTATGTCAGCGACTTAATATTTAACCCTGCTCCTCTCCTGCCTGTTTTCAGCATTTCTGATAAGGAAACTCATTTGCACTCTTCAGACTGTAAATTAGTCATACTTGGGCAGCTAATTCTGAAGAACTTTCTTGCAGTTATTTGGAAATGTTTTGAAATATTTTTTCTTCTTTGAGTGATGTATTTCATTAAAAATACATATCCAAATGAGAAAAATTCTGGTTCTGAACCTTTCCACCCAGCTGCCCTGTTAAGCTAGGACTCACGATGATGTATTCTGTAAGCGTTGCAGCAATACGGACTTAGTTTCGTGTGTCCTTTGACCTAGGTGGGACGGTCTTTTGTAATAGGTACTTCCAATAACTAAATGACTACTGGGTAAGTAATTCCCTCCTGGGTAGACAGACATGTAGTCATTTCACTTTATGCAACATCAAAAGGGTTATGTACAATGAAAGTAATGTCTTTCCATGAGGAGAAGAATTGGCGCTGCCTGCAAAGCTGTGCCTGGGTTGTTGAGAATGGAGTTTTGATTTTCACATTAAATTCAATTCAATTTTCTACCTTCTCTGCTAATGAAACACAAGTGGTTTGGAAAATATGTTTTCTGCTGAAATTCCCAAAGCAAAGCTTTGGTTTGAAAATGTTGCTTTTACGCCTCATAGGAATTGATGTTCCTTATGAATCCCGTGGAGCCATGAAATGGGATTATTCATTGCTCACTTTCTCTTGTCAAAGCTGGAAAAAGTAGTGTGATTGGTATATTATACAATACTACAAGTCAAAGCTGGAAAAAGTAGTGTGATTGATTGGTATATTATACAATACTACAGTAATTCACTTGAGCATATTTTTCTGAACTGGTGGTTTTTCTGAACTGGTATCTTTGATATTTAAGCTTCCATCAAAATCCTACTTTTTGTTTGTCTGTTTGTTTTTAAAAATTGTTTTCAATATTTTTGCTGGGAAAATCAGCTATTTTAAATCAGCTCTTCTGAAACCAGTGCCTATCAATGAGAAGACATGCCTACTGTTCTGCATGTTACTGTCTGAAAGCCAGACCAGCCAGCAAGTGCGCTGATTCCTAGAAGCAATGCTGCAGTGAAGCAGAAGAGTGCTCTGTGGATGACTCTGCTCCTCATTCAGAAAATCAGTGTTCTTTTGAGAAAAGATGTTCTTATGTTCTTATGAGTCTGATTCTTTACCATTTTCACATGATCAGCAACCTGTTTCCCCTTTTTTAAAAAATTATCCTTCTATTTTCACAAAAAATAACACTTGCCTTGCTGGAAGAAAAATGATGAGTTGCAAGGTTTTACGAATGCAGTCATGTGCTGAACTAAGGAGGAGAACTAAACACTGATTATGCAATCCCAAATGCTTCCCAAACGTTCTCTTTGCAGCTACTACCCATTTAATCTCCTGAGTGGAGAGACTTGTGTTTTGAACAGGTTAATTCAGTCCCTGACTGAATGATTGGACTTGATCTTGAAGATCTTTTCCAACCAAAATGATTCTATGACACCAGGTAAGATGTGGGGTGGGCTGTTTCTTGTGCACGGGGGTGGATGAGGTCATGTGGGAATGAGGCTGAAAAAGAGTGAAGGGGAAGCGAGTGAGTGGTGCTAAGAAAGGGACCCCAGAGAGAAACAATGAAAACAACAAGAGACAAAAGGAAGAGCCCAGCAATCTAGAAAAGCAGAACCTAGAAAGAGGAAGAAATAGGAAGAACAAACAACTAAATACAGAAATACTAAATACAGAAAAAGCGTGTTTGAGAGGGTATAAAAAGGCAAAGGTAAACAGAAGAAGGAAACTTTGACAAAAAAAAAGAGAAAAATGTATTGACAATGTGAGAGTAAGAACAAATAGGTAACATAAATAACTTGAATGTAAATAAATAGCTTATATTTTCTAGTCTAAAAGAATGAAGGAGGCATCAGAGTCTCAGCTGGCTGCTAGTTTTTTGAATCATACTAAGCTTATCTACATTCAAATGAGAGAACATTAAGGCAGGGCGTAACAGAGGGGATGTACACATTGCATTTGTTTTAGAATAGTGCAGATGGTCTGAGTCATTCCAGAAGAAGCATGTGGACTCTGGAATAAATCACATGATGGTTTTGTTTTCCTTATCTTTCAGTATTTTCTTACATTAATTAATGGTGGCAGAAAACTAACATGTGGTGAGATTTGAGAAACCACAATAACCATATTAGCTAAACAAGAGTAAATTTCCTTTCACAGCTTAAGCATATGAACAAAAACTAGCTGCATGTGGGGGCTTCATTTGCATAACATGCAGATTTTGAAATAGATGTCTTAAAAAGCAAAAAAAACACCATTTTTGCATGCACATGCAGATTTTGAAATAGATGTCTTAGCAAAAAAACACCATTTTTGCATGTGGCTGTGTGAGGCGAAGCACAAAGCATCTGCAGGAGAGGCTGTCTGGGCTTCATAAACTGGTGAAAAGAAAATGTGCTGCAAAGGTAAGCTGGATTAGCTATCATATAGTAACTTCGGCATTTACCTGAATTGATTTAATTGCCCACCTTCTGAAAGACTTGTTTTTGCTAAACATCACCGAATGAATTGCAGACATGTTTAGTTTAGAAAACATCTGGATACAGAAGAGAATGGGCACTGCTTTTTTCATGGATAAGTTAAAATATCCCTTAGTCTTTTAATGAACAAAACCGGCTCATTACATTGATGAACTGGACAGGGAATAGATGCAGAGCCTCTCATGGGGCTGTAGGAAAGCCAAAGTGCCTGAAACAACTCTCTTTCTGGGGAATAGTGCTGATAATACTTAGTTGCTTCACGGGCTTTCACAGGATAATATTCTAAATGTAGGCTGTTGTCTGAGAGATGCTGGAACCTATTGCCAGTAGCACAAACCTTGGCTTGGGCACGTAGTACAATCCTTACGGACCCGTGAAGAACCATCATTACGGACTTGCTTGGTGATTTTATGTTGTATCCATTTTTGTAATACAAGGGGAATTTCTGTGTACATTAATCATTATTTACTACTTACATGACTGCCAGGGGCTGTATTAGTCTTTATGTAAAGAAGCCTGCTATGTGAGATTCGTCTCTACAGCGCCAGTTACGAGAAAAAAAAATGTGCAGCCCCACAGTGAAGTCCATTTTGGCACAGAGCATGCTCCTGTCTAAATGTGCTGCTTTTAACCATATTGCTGCTCTTGTTTCTAAATGTCGGGGGCCGTGAGCAAGAAGCAGTGACCTGCTTCAGGCAGCATTCGGGCAGAAACGGAGTTCCCCCTGAGCAGGATCTTGCCTGGCATATATTGCATATGTGTTGTTGCAAAAAGCATACACAAATCACTTTATCAGCAGTAAGTGTGCTATTCCTCACAGCACTTCAGAGACAAGAGAATTAGTTACAAATGAATCTTAAGTTTTCTATTCAAGAAAGTCCAGAAGAGTTCTTACGAGCCTGGTCTGAAACCTGAATTGAGTTAGGAGGTTTCCGTTACTGCATTTTGAAATACAAATAACATCAAGAAGGCAAAATAGAGCAAACTTAGGTTTCTTTTTCTTCTTTTTTTTTAAGGTCCAGTGTTGCAACCTATTAGCTTAATTTATCAGAAAAAAAAAAAAAAAAAAAAAAAGGAGATAACTTCAGCCATCTGCAACTACCTTTTTTTTGGCCTTCTCTCTTTACATCTTCTCTGCACTGAATCTCAACCATCTACTCTCCTCCAAGGATTGGACTTGGCTAAGCCATAAATCAGCTTCTCAACTCCTTTATGGATTTAATCATAACCTTCCACAGAATATGTGATGACAGGCAATGATTTACTGCAAAAACAGTAAGAAGGCCAAATTATTTTCAATTTTAAAGAGAATCAATTGAAGTTTGTCAAGTCACAATCCAGATTGATGTCACACTTTTTTTGGCTCTATATGCATCAAAAATTGAGGATTCCTTTTCAGTGGCAGTAATCAAAATGTGGGTGTGTTTGTCAAGCAGGGAAAAGCAAGACCTTCATTGCAGGGTTCATAAGCCTATACATGTTACATTTGTGATTTGTGCAAGTGTTTGGATTTAATCACAGCTGTAGTCAAGGACTTGGATGTTACAAATATAGGGAGCCAGGCAAATGACGTGTAGCTGCTTAAATGATTATGGACACAATATTTTATCATGCAACAATCAAGACCATTTAGTAGCTATGCAATGTTTTTGTTTCATTCACTGGCTATGGTTTCTGGAAAGCAAGACCATGCTTAGAAAAAAAAAAAAAGCTGCTGGAACCCCTTTTACTGTCATATGCTCATTTTTGGAGAGAAAAAAAACACACTTGTGTGCCATCCAACATCTTGCATTGCTCAGGTTCAGCCTTCTATTAAGCGCAGTTTAGCTGGCTGCCTGTATTAGAGCAGTCTGGTGCCTCTTGACAAGTTGTAACTGAATGTTCATGTGCTCAATTTCTGAAATAAATATTGTCTGAAGGATTTCTACTGTTCTGTTATTGCAAATATATAGGTAATCACCAAAATCTAAACTAACAGTCTGGTAAAGAAACATTTATAACTTTTAAAATTAATGAGTGATAAAATCAAATATTCTCCTGTCTATTGCCAACAACTTTAACAACAGAACTGAACAGCATGTACATAAAGCACAAGTGTTTGTACCAAACAGTCCAATACGGTGGCATTTTTCTTCTTCACCTGGGCATTTGCACATTTTGTGTGAGCACTTCAGACAAACCATTTAGATAACATGCTCTTCGATATAAACCAGATTCTAATGCTAGGTAAATTATTTGAAAGCTAATATAGTTACACAGGAAGTCTAAGAAGTAAATGGCGTGCATCCAACTTGCATGGCTCCAGCATAGACAGGGTTAAATAATCTCCTTTACATAAAAATAGGTTATTATGATGGCATGTCAGGAGGAAGTGGTGATAATTTGAATTTAACTCTGCACCTTTAACTAATGCTGTTATTTCTTGTTTTTCTAATTAAAGTGTACTTCTATCGAGGTTGATGGTGAATGTGCTTCAGCAGCCACAACAGAATCACACATCCTCTTTGACTCAAGCTTCAGGCACAATTCTGATCTGGTAAGTGCTAAAATAAAAAAAGTAATCTAAAATATGTGACGAATGTATTAAACTACACATGTAAGTAGAACTTGTAAGTAGGATTGACTTAGGATGATCAGTAGTTCTTAGAGTATGCTTAGTGATTCTCTCTGGGTATTGGGAAGGTTTTGCCTTGTAGAAATCTGTCTTTTTCCTGAGGTCTTTCTTTATCTGTTGTCTTTTGCTTGTAAAATTCCAAGTAATCTATTTGCAGAAAAGATTGTAGTGTAGTCTTATTGCTGAGTATTGTCATATTGCTTCCACTATAAAATGAAATATACTGAAGAGAAAAAATAGTAAGCTAAAGAATAGATTACAAGCCCTATACAACCTTTAATATTCAGAACGTGTGTTTGTGTATATATGCGTAGACTTCTGTTTGTGCATAATATACAAGCAATATTAGAACATACATCTATGTCTACATGGATTTTTTTTGATAATTACCTAATACATTAATGTTAAATAAAACCCCAAATATGCAGATTATAAAGCTGCCTATTAAAAGACAACTGAAGAGATCTTAATCCTAAATGAAAGCAAAATTATATTTACAGGGGATCTGATTCAGCTCCTTTTGCAGCCTGTGCATCTTTCTAATAACTTCAGAGAATGCTGCTTCAAATTCATGAAAGCAAATCAGCTCAAGAGATCAGCTCAAGAGATTTAAATCAAGTCCTAAATCTGATCTTTGCAATTCTGGTTTCAATTTGAGTCTTTTTCTGATTCTCTTGTACCAACCAGCCTCAGGAAGTTTTTGCTGAAGAGTCCTTTTGTGAATAAATGCCTAACTAGCAGTGCCCTAGTCACAAGTGTGACTGTGATGTGAGACTAGTTGTGGATGTCTGCAATATTAAGGAGAAAACGCAGTGCTCTGTGATGAGCACGAGTTAATTCTTCTCCACGGGCTTCCCGCTGAGCTCTTCTGAAGAGCAGGGAACCACTCTTCAGAGCTACTGTGAGGAAATCTCTCTTCTTATACCTACTTATGGGCTTTAGGAAACATTTGAGCTCCCCCTCTTCTAAGGATCTTCACTATGCTTTCATCCTCTATTCATTATATCGAAATTTGAGAGTTATTTTGACTAAGTGCAACGAAGGGCTATAATTTCATAGAAAAAATACAGACCTGGGCTGTCTTTGTATCTTATAAACATGTATATCCTTGCAAGGTATCCATCATAGCATTTTTATTTTTATTTTCACAATAAAATGATAATAGACAGGTACTCCTTTAGTGCTGTCTAGCTGCAGAGCTGCTGTATTGCAACCTAGTGCAAGGAGCTGCAAGGAAAGGCCAAGAAAAGGGACTTGTGTCTGGCGAAATGGGAGCAGAGGAGAGGAAAGCAGCGGATGAAAACTGGCTCAGGGTGCTTGAAGAACAGGGGCCAGGGACAGGCTCCAGCTGGGTTGTGGAGCTTCACTGCTCAGCCCATTAAGCTCCGTACACCCGTGAGACAACTCTAGCTGTTAAACCCTTGCTTCAGAAGGCGTTCGAGGGCTTTTGGGCTATTACACTGTGGCAGCTTCAGAAAATCACCTTTGAAAAGGCAGCAGAGGAAGTTGGAATGGTAGTTGAAGATTTATTTAAAGGGCAGGAAAGCCAGCGAAGCAGTGATGCTGATTAACATAACTTTGTGGGGGCTTTTACAAACCTGCAGCAAGCTATCATGAGCCTGCGTCCCTACTGGGGTCACACAGAGTCTGGTCCTCATTCCCTGCCTTCCAGAGAGCTCCACTCCTCTCTTTCCCCCAGTGTCCCAGTTATATTTGGTCTGCATCTGCCCTGCTTGTAATACCAAAACAGGAAGAATTTTTTAGATTAGACTTAAAATGGGATGTGCATGCACTTCCTCTTAGCAGCATAGGTAGTAAAAAGCAGAGATACTCTAAATAAAAATGACAGTCTCACCCTTAGAAAATACATCATTTGGTCCCTGCAGTTACTGCTTTGCTAGAACGCGTAAATAATAGAAAGAAGAGGAAGGCTGAATTCATGGTTACAGTAGGCGAACACTGAGGAACTAAATCTCCTGGCTACTGGTTCCTGTGTGAGGTTAGGCAAGTCAGATAATCCCAAGTTTGTACAGGTCGCCACTAATGACATGTTCCCCATTTTATCTGTAACTGTGACTTTAGATGTGAGGTCTGATTTGCAGAAGTCTGAGTCTCACTGCAACCAGAGTCAATGGATTCAGTCCTATATACAGCTGAAGTCCTAATGCTAAGCACTTAAAAGTGATGAGGGAAAGGGGCATCTCAACTGCATATTTACTGTAATGATTCCATGCTTGAGTTCCTTCTCTGCAAAATAAATGTAACAGGGCCTCCTCGTCATACAGGGCTCTGCAAATAAATCAAGTACTTTTTGTGAAATATTTGGATATTAGATACCACAGACATCCAGAAAGTTATTTTGTCCCAAGATTGGAATTTTCAATATTATGCTGTCTGTAAAAAAAGAGATCTCTGTACACGGTGCAGCGATACAAGTGAGCTAAACTCGCGCTCACTCCGTCCTTGCCCATGTTGAGTACTACCCTTTCCACTGTAATAAAGCAATAATCCATGTTAAAACATAGTAAAGTTGTTACGGAATGACATAAATAATGTGCTGCTGTTTTACTCTTTCATTTTCATCTTAATAGATACATCAATTTCCACTGCCATACAGTTTTTTTTAAAAAAATATTTTTTCTCTAGTTTCCTGTGATTCAAAGTCAATGTGAGACAAGTCACATATTCTCATATATTATTTATTAGCTGTACAAATAAGCATTCCATAGGTAAGCTGTTGCTCTTCAATTATATTGACACAAACTACATGCTTGCCATGACTGCACATTGTGCAGCAATGTGATTTGCTGAGGTGCTCGTGTGTATTATTGATATAGCTGAAGCAACATGATTCTTTGAATAAATGTTTTATTTTCAAATGTTTCTCTGCTACTTCACTTCTGTTGTGTTATTTTCCTAATCCAATCTTCTTTTTTTCCTCCTTCTTTTTAGAAATCTGTGGAAAAGTATTTTGAAGCCCTTCTCAGCACATTTCCTTCTCAGAAGTGTACTGCCAAAATGAGTGTAAGTGTTTAATTATTTAATTGATAAACAACCAATAAGCCAATAAATCATTTAATCTGGAAGTACATACTTTTTGTGGCTGCTAGTCCAAGAGTGCCTTCTTTTTGGAAGTAACTGGATAATAACAAGTATCTTAGAGCAGAGCTCATTGGCAAAGCACCCGGTTACTTAGGGTTGCACTCAATCTAACTGTAGGCCTAGTGCCTACAGTGTAAGGACCTGTTTTTCAGGCTGGCCACCCTCAATTACCTGTCTGGTTGGGAAGAGAGAAGTCATTTTGGGGGATTGACTCAGTCAACCTGAACCAGTTCTGGGCTCCCCAGTACAAGAGGGATGTGGAGAGAGTCCAGCGCAGGGCTATGAAGATGATCAGGGGCCTGGAACCCTACGCGGAAAGGCTGAGGGAGCTGGGCCTATTCGGCATGGAAAAGGGAAGGCTGAGAGGGGACCTGATCAGTGTCTATAAGTACCTCAAGGGAGGGAGTGAGGAGGATGGTGCTGGCCCCTTTTCAGTGGTGGCTACCAACAGAACTAGAGGTAATGGCCACAAACTGAAGCACCAAAAGTTCCACAGGAACTTAAGGAAAAATTTCTTAACAGTGAGGGTGACAGAGCGCTGGAACAGGCTGCCCAGAGAGGTTGTGGAGTCTCCTTCTCTGGAGATCTTCAACACCCGCTTGGACACTACCCTGTGCCACATGCTCTAGGTGACCCTGCATGTGCAGAGGGACTGGACTAGATGATCTCCAAAGGTCTCTTACAACCTTAATGATTCTATGATTCTAACCTTTTTTTTTAGACTTCTATATTAGTATGAAATAAATAACATTCTAGACTGGTCTGTTCCTCTCCATTCTAAAAGAAGCCTAGACCAGTACCTCACAGACAGACCTTTACACTACAGACTGCCCCATGATGGCAAATAAATCTTTTTTGCATAGTGTATATAAAGATGCTATCCTTTGAGAAATCCCAAAAGATAACTTCCATGTGTATATTTTCCAATTCATTATTTAGTTCTTGTAAGACTTCTCCAGAGTATTAAGCACGTGTGTACTTTGGGAGGTGAGGGATGAAAGGACCTTCTCGTGTTTTATATCATGTGGTCCTGGAGAAGACAACAGTGCTGCAGACTGTCTGCGATGAGCCTGGTATAGGTTTGAAGTTCAGAGGTGGGAAAGACTGCACAGATGGATTATAGTTTCCATAAATGACGCTTGCATTGCAAATCAGCAAACTGTTTAGTGCTTGTATTTTTTCCAAAGCTACTAGTACCTTGTATTTGTACAACATTGTTACTTACTATTTTTCTACCATATAGGAATTGCAGAAAGGAATGCTAGTGATTAAGTAGTTAACTGGTGATCTTTTCTTTTACAGGCAGAGCCTAATATCTCATATTATTTTTATGAGGAAGACCTAATTGCAGAACCATGTTCTAAGGCGGAAGTCAGAGACTTCACAAAAGTATTTCTGCCAGTTGCATATTCATTGATTTGTGTCATCGGACTAGTTGGTAACATCTTTGTAGTGATGACTTTTACTTTATATGAAAGAACCAAGTCCATGACAGATGTATACCTCCTCAACATGGCAATTGCAGACATCCTGTTTGTTCTCACTCTCCCGCTGTGGGCAGTGAATTATGCTGTTGATACATGGATTTTCAGTGATTTCGTTTGCAAAATGAGCAGAGGTATCTACGCAATCAACTTCAACTGCGGCATGCTGCTTTTGACCTTCATCAGTGTGGACCGGTACATAGCTATTGTACAGGCAACAAAGTCATTTAAACTCAGGACAAGAATGCTGGCATACAGTAAACTGATTTGTTTGGTTGTATGGATAGCATCGGGTTTAATTTCCACTTCCTCTTTCCTGTACAGTAAAAGTTTCACCTTCTCTGTCAATGAAACCAAAGAGATTTGTGATCACAGGTATGACAAACCTCCCAACAGCCTTACACTGAAATTATTGCTGCTGATTCTACAATTTGGATTTGGCTTTTTTATTCCTTTTGTTGTCATGATTTTTTGCTACACATTCATTATCAGATCCTTGCAACAAACGCAAAATTCAAAAAGAAACAAAGCAATCCGTGTGATTGTATTAATTGTAGTCGTTTTCCTAGTTTGCCAGGTACCCCATAACGTCGTTCTTCTCATGACAGCCACAAATCTGGGCAAGATGGACAAATCCTGTGACAGTGAAAAAAAAATGGCTTATGCAAAATATACCACAGAAGCCATAGCATTCTTACACTGTTGCTTGAATCCCGTGCTCTATGCATTCATTGGAGTGAAGTTCAGAAGTTACTTTGTGAAGATAATGAAAGATCTGCGGTGCATGAGATACAAGAAATACAGCAGCCGAAACTCAAGGACAAACTCTGATACTTACCATTCAAGACAGACTAGTGAAATTCTGAGCGAAAATGCATCTTCTTTTACTATATAAGGCAATTTAAACAATGTTATTATTGAAAGGCTCTGCTCACTGAGCAAGCCAGACCTGTCGCACAGTGTGTACCATAACCAGCCATTTGTTAACAGCTCCGCACCTCAACAGCGAGCTACCGTGACCCACAGCGCCTTTCCACAAACTAACATAAACAAAAGGCTAATGCTGTCCTTCAGAAACTCAAATCTTATTTCCCGAACATTACTGCTCTTCTAAGGTACAATCACTTAGAGCTGTCAGGAAGGTGAAGCTGATAAAGTAACACTTCTCGTTTTGAACAGAAACCACTACCTGCAAAGTATGAAATAAATGAATTGGGTTATTCCCAGGCTCATTCTACCTATATTTAGGTTGTTGCTGTTGATTGTTTATGCCTAATAATCCTATTTAAGTGGAAGACTCCATTTTGCTTGCATTATAGATACATTGTACTAACCTAAACAGATGACATTTTGGGCAAAGCATGGCAAGAAAAGCTAACACATAGAAAGATGAAGAAACTGGCATAGCTGGATTTAGATTTGGGGTCCCATAAATCTTTGCCCAGTCCTGTGCTCCAGCTGCTCATCAGTGCCTCAAAATGGAGCTGCACAAGCGTACACCTAGGCTGAGGCTGACCAAAATCAGTAGTGACTTGTCCACTAAGGAAAGATTATGAAAGGAAGAAAATTACGAAAATAAGCAAACACTGAAATATGCACAGGAAGATTTTCTGACAGCTACTCAGGTTATCTGCTGAACAAAAAACAGAGCTTTATTTGAGAGATTCTTCCTTTCATTTAGTGCTGAATTCAGATCCTGGAATTCACTGAAGCTGATCACTTTGTGAAAATATCCCTGTGAGAAATTGACTCTTTCCAGCTGAAATTCACACCACTTCTTGAACAGAACTGTCCAATACTTTTTCTTTGCAGCTAGATCAGTAACAAAATCTGATGCATTTTTTGGTATTTAGCGTACATTAAGGAGTGGATGTGCTAACACAAAAACACCTATATGAAATTTATTAACTTCAGAAATTGAGGACAATATCTAAAAATAAGAGCAAAGTGTAGCTTAATTTAGTCAGATTTTTACCAGACTTGTCAGCATTTGTTTCACAATTAACCTAGGAGTAAGAATTTTTTAAAAAACACACGCACAGGAACACCCTCAGAACAGGCTATGCAGAACCTGCTCTCCAGCAGAGATGGGAATAGCGACCTAGTTGACCACCACGCCTGTTCACTGAGGGAGCTTCACAGTCTTCTAACCAGGATGGAGGGAAGCAAACTGCACTACTGAGAAACTCAACCCCCCGCCACCTTGAAGAAGGTGTCAAGAACATCTCCAAAGATGTTCTAGACAGAAGGAGGAACAGATGCTCTTCCAAGAGCTGGAGGACACAGCACCAGGACAGAGTAGAGGATGAGAGCATCACTGCTACCATCTGCAGTCAGCCAAAGTGCCAGTCTTCCAGAGTTCCCCTGCAACAGGAGTGTGAGCCAAATGTCCAGACTTGCTGTTTTGCGGGATTCTTCACTTCAACAGCAGCGTAAACTAACACAGTTTTGCAGCTTGCAGTTTGCCTTGGAAGATTTTTTTTTTTTTGAACTTGTGACTGACAGGAGAATGGACTTTGGACCAGAAAGCACTTCTTCCAGTGGCCATGGAAAGGACCAAAAACAGCAATGGCAGAGCTGAAGAACACTTTGGGATATGAAATGACATGAAACTTGTACTGTTTTTGCTAGTGCAATCCATCCTTATGTACAGTACAGTTTTTAATGTTAGTGCCAGGTGTGATAAAGATCGTATATATATTTTTCATTAATGATAGTAACCTAGGCAAAAATACACACAATTACGTAAATACATGCACATGCATTTGCTGTACCTAGCACTGACGATTTTCTGGAAGAGAATTCATCAAATAAAAATATAATTGACTGAATAAAATGAAAAAATGAGGTTTTCATTATATTGATTTTAAGTATTTCAGGAAAGGGTTTCTTGCTACATGTATTACCTTGAAAATCTTGCTATGTGCATTGCCTTGCAAATTCTCTTGTCTGGTGCAAAATCTCCCTTACCCCAACTACTTTAGCATCCATCCCTGCAAAACTTGGGTGTGAGAGCTGATACCATGTACTGCTGTACATGGAGTGGGAAAAAATATCACTGGGGTAGAGAAAACTCTGTGTGCTTTGGTTAAAGAATTGATCCAGTATCAAGAGCTTGCTAAAAATCCTTGGGGCTTCCCCTTGAGGTGCCTCTGAAACCTCAGTCAGCCATAAATAACCTGCGTCAGGGAGAAATGAGGGTGAAAGGGTGGAAATAGCTCATGAAGAGCTGCTCAGGGAGGGGAGTTCATGCTCAGCAAGCAGCTTTCAGCAATGGGGTTGGTAGCCTTACAGTTTTTACTTGAGTTTCGCAGGCAGTTACCGTACGAAGGTGTGAGTTGTTAAATTTAATACAACAATTTGCAATTTTTGTGAAATCTACTTCCAGATAAAAGAGATCCAGTTCAGTGTCACCCTTGAATCCGGCTGCTGGACACTTGGCAAATGGTAACCACATGGGCAGGCCGGCTGGCCAGTGCTGCTGATAGGCCTCCCAACGTTTTGTCATTTACTCAGTGATCATGTCGGTGGAACCCAGATGAGCTAGGCTTCGTGCTGGGAGTTCAGGGAAATAAAATAACTCAAATTTATATGAAATCAGACATTGTTTTTACTGCTCTTGGAAGAGCTTTTGCGGGGGCTTGCTATGGATGCTGCTCTTAGGGAATGCATGGGATAATTTTCTTTCTTTGCTGCATTCATTTCATCAGTTATTTTTGAAGAACAAGCAAGTTGGTTTTAGATGGATCTTCTTTTGCTTTGAGTTTGAAGAGAGAAGCCGACCTAACTATGAGGTTGCATCATTTAAGCTCTGACTTCAACAGTCTTGGAATCGCTTAGCCATTCCTAAATATATATTTTAGTTAATACAAACTAATGTAAATAATACTTATTAAATCTGCAGCAATTGGAATTTATTTATTAACCTACAATTTGCTGGGGAGTAGGAGAAGTAGGGAACACTTAGCTCCCTCCATAAGAAACAATGATTGACAACTGGAGCAAGAGCTTAGCTAGGAAACAGAGAATATGGATGATCTTGTTGATTTAAATCAATGGTGAATACTCTGTTGTTTTCAGCAGAAAGCATGGTAGTTTTCCTTTGAAGATTTTGTACTTAGTTTTATCTTCTGTTTATGAATTTTTACTAAGATAAAATGTATTGATTGTTAGGAGGTACAAATGAATGCTATATAGTTGTTATAATTTGCCTGAAGTGAATTGTAGTTTAATCCTGTTTTAAAAAACTTTAACAGAAAAATATAATGCCTTTCTATTTTTTTTTTCTTGTTTGGATTCCGTTCATAACAAGAGAGATAAAATTTAACACTATTTCAGAGAGGTTTCTTTCCAATTTATAGTATTTTCAGGCCACTGAGTATACATTAGTTTTACATCTCATCAGCAAACATTTTGTAATGAAGGACAACATCAGTAGGAATGTGGTAGTTAAAATATAGGTGGAAAACTCAATATACATGGGTTATACTGGTGTATGCTAATTACATTGTTGTTAATTTGATGTAAGCACAATATTTATTAATGAAAGTGTTATGTACTCTGGGAGTTTCATAAGCACAGGATTTTGTTACAGACTTATCTATGCAGAAAAAAAAAAACTGTTCTGCCTTCATCAACATTGTTTCTTGTTCTTGTCTTAGATTGCATATCAGACTTAAACTGTATTTGTTATAAAAAATTCCTAACAGTTTTTGCTCTCAACAGAGTCTTCTACATTCAAAGAGTTCTGTATAAATGTCTATTTTTGTTGTAATTTCAATTTAAAATATTGTCTTGATGCAAAAACAAAACCAAAAAATCCTCAGCTGGCTTTACTGCTCTGACTACAGGCTGATGTTTTGTAGTAATCACGCCACATTGCAAAAAGTGTTAAATTGTACTATGCTGTCACTAAATTTTCAAAATATTGAACATACAAAATCATGACAGTTAGTTCCAGTTGTTTTTTTATTCCAAATAATCTAAACATTTCAAGGTTTTTGTGAAGTGTGATGGGTTTTTCCCCAGAAGAATAGAGCTGATTCTAATACTAAATCGGATACATTTGCACAAAAGAGAACTCAACCTGGTGAGAGAATGCATTAAAATATGAAGTTGCCAAGTAATTTGGAAACGAAGAATGACACATTTTATAAATGATGAAACCTACGAGTTTTGCAGGTGGCTTTGGAAAAAAAGGGTTTAATAAAAATTGTCTGGAATTAATTCAAATAAGAAAACCCTAGTGACACATGCAAACTGGTGCCAAGATTGAAAAACAGCTCTGTATTGTTTTTAATGGAGGTATCTATTTGATGTAGTTGCAGATGAAAATTTCTTGAAGACTTAGATATTTCAATGAATTAAAATGTCCAAATGAAAGCGGGACTGGACTAGAGAGAGATGTTTTTCAACCTCGACCATTCCATAGCCCTGTGATTTTACTGTAGAGATTAAAGTGAGCATTTCTTTGCATGTCTTCTGTTCGGAAAACAGAATACTGTGTTTAACTACCCATTTAACAATTTCCTCTCAGTATTTTATTACTGACAATCTGTACTTCCAGGTTCTGTCACATGTACCCATCCTCATTTGTCATTAACTTATTTAGCAAACGAGGTTATTGAAATCAAAGGGTCTTTGTCCACTAAATTCAGTCCCTATTCACCATGTGAAAGTTAATTCCTGGTATGAATCTATATGTTTTCAATTCAAACATTTATTTGTTTAATCATACTGTACAGACCTACAGAGAGTGAAAATAAGCATATAAAGTGCCAAATTTACTACACTAGTCTTGTCTGAAACATCTTCCTAATTTCTTCATTGATTGCAATATGGGATAATAAGAAGGACAATTTTTTGCATTTCAGAGTCACAGTAAGAATGATCTAT